CCAAATAAAAGATTTTGTTTACATAATATATGAGTGTGTACTGTGTATATTTATTATGTATACGTATATAAATACACACACACACATTTATATATTTCAGAAAAATATGTTGTTTATATATGAAATATATTTATAATATAAATTATATGAATATAAATATAGACATGTTGAACTCTCCTCCTGGAAGAGCAGGAAAGCGTAACCTGCAGAAGGAAGAGCATGACAGATGAGACAGTCTCTGGCTTCACAGAGTCAGACTGCAGCCAAGACCAGAAGCGCCTTGACTAAGAGTCACAAGAAAGAACAAAAACCGCTGCTGATGGCAGAGACTGAAATGAGTCTGCATGGAGGAATAAAAACAACCAGCCTGAAAGTAACAGTAACCATTCATTCCATCTTTAAAGAGTCTAAGAATGAATAACTGATGATCAGAACAGGAAGATCAAACAATTTGAGACGCAATCTCATACACATATACACACACACCCACAGTATTTATCAATTTACACACACACACACACACACACACACACACACACACATATATATATACATACACACATTCAATAATGTAATACTAATCAAGCAGTAATTGACGGTACACCTACAGTAGTGTCTTCTATGTTCACTTGTTCACTCATAGGACACGGTTTCATTCCTGTATCTGCTGACGGGACAGATGTGAGCAGAACAGAGCTAGAATTAAATATGGGAGTGGCATGATTGACTGGGGCGGAGCTATGCTAAGGTGAAATCAGGACAGAGTGTTTCTTGTAGCTGAAATGAGTCCTGACTGAACACTGGGAAAACCACTGTATTACCACCGTCATATTTATTTCACATCACAGCTACCACTAACATACATATTATAGTTACAAATATTTTTAAGCCAATTCCTATACAGTCTTTGACATTAACCAACATACACAGTCGATCTCTACGGGTCCTATGCAGTATAATGTTGTATTTGTTATTATATCATGTATTTTTGCACAACCATAACATGCAGGACCAAAACTATCAATTTTATGAATTGACAAAGAATGGTTATTGTCTGTGAATTCATGACGTCCATCATGAATCAAGTCCTTCTGAAGTGTTTTTCCTTTATAACACTGCAGTTTGAGAACATCAGGATCAGTGTGACAGCAGAAAACCAGAGGGAAGAAAAGAACAAGGCATTCTGCTCCAGGGAAAGAGAGAGCGATAGAGTGTAAGCAACTGAAAGAACAGAGAAATATGAACAACGTTGGGAAAGTAAATCAAAGACATCAAAAGAAATCAGAGGAGTGTGCTGGGAGAGATTCATGTATAAGCATCAGATTTAAGAGTGTCAGAGGTTTCATCATTAGAGCTTAAATATATATTTTTTTAAATGCAGAAAAATAAATTCAGATTGGATTATTCTACTCAATTAGAGATTATGATGAGCCTTTTGTTTTGATTGTGTAATTCCTGTACCCACCAGCAGGGGCTAACTGGACCATGTTAACCAGCTAAACCTTGGCTTCACTTCCATCCTGCTTTCCAGCTGGTTTCTGAACAGAAGGAGCTCTTAAATAAATCTCAGCGTTAGTGATAAGCGTATAACAGTACCACAAGAAAGAATTTAACCCTTTTTAATGTGTTTAGAGCCTCTGCGCTGACCTCAGTCCTGCCCACTGCGAGTCATGATGCTTTACACAACACTGGATGGAAAAATGACCAGCATCTTCCATTCACTCAGTCTGGATCAGTGTTTCATATGAGCTGGAGGAACAATGAGCACATCTGCAAACAGCAGTTGCACACAGGACGGCGCAGGCATGAGGACTACAGGAGTCCAAATATATAAAATCCACAAGTGCAGATCATTATACAGAGCAGAAATCTCATAAATGAAGAAAAATACAGTGGCCTCAAAAAGTACTTGGACACTTAAACCGTTCTTAATGTGTGAAATCATTGCATTATATAACAAAATAACAAACCAAGCGACATTTATTCATACTAATCCCACCAGACAATTTTCATCACAGAGCACAGGACTTTTAACTATAAAATTAATTTGATTAATTAATCAGCATTTCATGTAAATAATTTGAATAAAATGTTTAACTGAATGAAAGATATCTATATGCTATACATATATATATATATATATATACACAGTATATACACACATATGTGTGTGTGTGTATAAGTAAAAAAAAAAAAATATATATATATATATATATATACACACTATATTTTTTTACATATTATAATAATAAAGAAGTGTATATATGCATTGTTAAAAGCTTTCAACTTTTAACTATAAAAAGCCAGAAAAAACTAATTAAATTAATCAACATTTAATTGACTAATAGAAATCTGTATTTCGTTATAATACGTATGTGTGTGTGTATGTGTATTTTTAAATATATATTTATATAATTAAATAGACTTAAATAAACATTATTATTTATAGATGCACCGATATAGATAAATAAGATAAATAAAAGCAATAAAATGAACAGTGAAAGTAACAAAAACTCGTACAATACATTATAACAGGCTTAATTAAGTGTGAAAATGACTTAAGGATATATATACAGTATATAATAGGAAGGATATCGTATCAGTGGTATGAGAACTGTACCTGTGCTCTGTTTACCCTTCCAAACAAACTCTGTCACCTCTATCCAGATACTCACAAACACAATGCACACGTGTAGTGAAATGCAGTAGGTCTCTCCCTCTGGGTGTGTATCTGTAAGTACTTGTCTGTGTGCATCTGTTCAGTCCACAGTAATGAACACCTGGAGGCACTTTGAAGCAATAGAGACCAATCTGACACACAACACAACAGTTTCCTGACGTGCTGAGACCAAACACTGACCAGCATCCACACAATAGACTAATTTGAGGTGCATGCTGATTACAAACGCTCTCTGACGTAATACTTTCACTGTTTTCACTCAAATGAAGGAGGTGTCACGGGGAATCTGAATTGTTCAACATCTGCAGCTGTATTAAAGTGCAGCAGGAGAGATGATGTCAGTGTCATTACCTTTAGGGGGAAAATAGGATTTGCTTTCTGCTTTATGAGGCCAGTCCACCACCAGGTGACCATAGCGACGGAAACTGTTGGTGATCTCATCTGTAGGACAAATGGAAAGTATTTAGGCCAAAATATGGATTTACAATGAACATTGTAACAAAAAAAAGCAAGCAGTTACTGCCTCCCTTCTAACTAACAATGCTGTAGACTCTAATTCTTTAAAATGCAGTTAATTTCTATGGATAAATCTTTAGTCATTCACCTTGTGATTTTCTGTGGCCAAAAGTGCATAACCCACAGTCTATATAATATTCTGGTCTGAAGATATACTTTGGGTCAGTGCTAAATCTATGGAATTATTTAATGCTTCATTTATTCACTTTTGTCTACGCTGATTATTTTGGAAAACCCAATAAAAAAAAAAAAAGGAAAAAAATCTGGAATTATTATTATTTTATTTTATTTGCCTTTATTGGCAACCAGGTGAAAAAAAACAGGTGTAAATGATTAGAAAAATAAAGTTCCCACAAATTGTCATAAAAGTTTTATCATTTCTTTTTTAAATACCTTTATTTATTTGACAATTTTAACAATTATACAGAAACAGTTAACATACCTCAATCCTTCTTCAAGGCAACAAACAGATTGGTGTTATTTTACTATTATTTATATACTATTATAATTTTAATATTTTGAATTAGCTTTTATTTTTATACTTTTCATTTAAATTTTAGTAATTTTTTTGTGCTTTGGTCATTTATGTTTTGTTTTTAGTTAGTTTCTTCAATATATAATATTTTTGTCATCTTATTGCTTCAATTTAAACCTAAACAAAAATGAGAAATGTTGCCTTGGAAACTACCTAAACGAAGTTCATCTAGTATTTATATATTAATTTATTTCAGCTTTATTTCAATTAACAGAAATGTTTTAAATAAGTTTGGATTTAGTTTTAGTTAAAGGGATAGTTACCTAAAAATGAAAATGGTGTCATCATTTACTCACGCTCAAGAAGATATTTTGAAGAATGTTGGTAACCAAACAGTTGCTGGTAGCCACTGACTTCCATAGAATTCAATATTATTTTTTCCCCCTCCATATTATTGAAGTCAATGGCTACCGGCAACTGTTTGTTTCCCAACATTCTTCAAAATATCTTAAAAGATCAGAAGAAAGAAATTGAGGGCGAGTAAATGATGACAGAATTCTCATTTTTGGGTGAACTCTCTCTTTAACAATAATAAACCTGAAACAGATACATAGCAGCTCTAAAATAGTTGTGTATGTAATTTTCGATTTATGATACTGTACCTTTAACACACATGATATTTATTAAATCTTAATATTAATTAACATACTGTACACTCCAAACTCAAGCTCAGCACTGAGGCTTGTGTATATGTACCTTCATCGATGTCGGGTGGCAGTCCACCGACAAACACCTTTCTGGAGTAGCGCTCCATCCTCTCTCCGTTCTGACAGCGGCTGGGGGAGCTCAGGCCAGGGGTCAGAGACTGATCTCCATGACCGTCGTCCAGGAAGCCGTCCTCGAAAGGAAACAGTGAAGAGCGACCTGCAACAGGAAGTAGAGACAACAAGCAAAAGAAAAAGGGAAAAGGAGGAAACACACAAGAAAAGGAGTTAGAGGACAGAAAATGACAAAGAAAACCAAAGGGAAAAAACACTTAATTTCTACACCAATTAATATTATTATAATATAATATACTACCTTTCAAAAGTTTGGGGTGACTGTGTTTTTTTTTTGTTGAGAAATATATATTTTTATTCAGCAATGAGACATTAAAGGGTTAGTTCACCCCAAAATTTTAATTCTGTCATTCATTACTCACCCTCGTGTTGTTCCAAACCTGTAAGACCTTCGTTCATCTTCGGAACACAATTTAAGATATTTTTGATGAAATCTGAGGGCTCTCTGACCCTCCCATAGACAGCAAGGTAACTACCATGTTCAAGGTCCATAAAAGTACCAAGATGATCGACAAAGTAGTCCATGTGACATCAGCGGTTCAACTGTAAAGTTACGAAGCTACGCGAATACTTGCAAAAGAAAATGCGCAAAGAAAACAAAAATAACGACTTTATTCCACATTTTCGTCTCTACTGCGTCACTTGTGGACGCGCGTTCACGACAGTATCATGACGCGAGCGTGTGGCGGCGCTGACCCAGATCTGGCATAATGATGTCATCACGCCGGATCTGGGTCAGCGCCTCCACACGCGCATCGCGTATATGGTCGTGAACGCGCGTCCACAAGTAACACAGTAGAGACGAAAATGTGGAATAAAGTCGTTATTTTTGTTTTCTTTGCGCAAAAAAGTATTCTCGTAGCTTCGTAACTTTACAGTTGAACCACTGATTTCACACGGACTACTTTGTCGATAATCTTGGTACTTTTCTGGACCTTGAACGTGGTAGTTACCTTGCTGTCTATGGGAGGGTCAGAGAGCCCTCAGATTTCATCAAAAATATCTTAAATTGTGTTCCACAAATTGTGTGAACGAAGGTCTTACGGGTTTGGAACAACATGAGGGTTAGTAATTAATGACAGAATTTTCATTTTTGGGTGAACTAACCCTTTAAATTTATATTAAAATGCTGTTGTTTTTTTTTGTTACTTTCTATTCATCAAAGAATCCTGAATGGAATGTGACAAAATGTATCATGGTTTCAACACAAATAAAAAGCAGCACAACTGTTTTCAACATTGATAATAATAAGAAATGTTTCAAATCAGTATCATCACAGGAATAAATTAAATTTTACAATATATTCAAATAGAAAACTGTTATTTAAAATTGTAATAATATTTCACAATATCACTGATTTTACTGTATTTTTGAAAAAAAAAAAAAAAAAAAAAAAAAAAAAAAAAAAAAAAAAGTAGCCTTGCCAACCATAAGAAACTTCTTATATAACCATGAAAAAATAGTACCACTTTCAAACTACTGAATGGTAGTATATTCATATATTATGAAATTTGATTTCAGTGGCATATATTACAACACATTTGTTTAAAAATGGTTAATTAATTAGATACTACATGAAACTGGATTGTTCCAAAGTTAAATGAAACAATGAAGCTTTCCTAAAATAAGACATTTAATCAGCCATAAAAAATTAAAATCTCCAGTAATTACACAAACAACAATCGGATTCTTTATTTTCATACTCATATTTGTGAAGTGTTAACCTTAAGACATGTAAAAAAAAAAAAAAGGATGTGATCCATACAGTATGATCAGGTAGGCATTAATATCCAAAGCATCATAAAACAAGGCACATTTTCATATAGCAATGCAAAAAAAAAAAAAGTACTGTGATCAGAAGACCCTTAGACATAAACACTGATATCCCTTTTCCATCGTTATTCCTAGATTTAAGAACATATTTAAACATGCACAATTATTTAATTCAATGTCATAATGCTGTCTTAATTGATCAGTTTTTTAAACATGTAAGAAAAAACGATAATAGACCCACATACATGATTGTAAATCAATGTATTTTAGACAGGTGGGTAGCGACGAAAATAGAAACTAAAGGTATCATGCTACACTGGTGACTTTCAGACAGCTTTGGTGATTGTAGTTTTTATACGTTAGTGGTTCATGGTGGAAAAGGGGTATGAGAGAAGTACTAGAGTGAAAGCCAAAACATGTGAGGTGTAAAACCCTCTGGCACAGAACTGGATGACAGAATTAGTCCAACACTTGAAATGAGAAATGCAGCAAGCCCATATGATTAACTTCAAACATACAGGGTATGTCAACTCTCTAAATAATATTTTACCATCCATTGACCATTTTGTTAGGAAATCAATGGCTAAAATATTCCTTTGAATATATGCAATAACATAAAGGAAACAGTATTTCAATTATTAATGGCAAAATGAACATTAATTAATGCAATCACTGCACAAATGAAGCAGATATTATGAACCCCCCCCCCTGAGCACAAACAAAGAAGGCGACAGGTTACCTCTTCTGTGACCATAGCTCCTGGCTGTTCGAGAGCAGAGAGATGGGTGAAGAGAGAGAAAGAAAGAAGGGGGAGAGAGACAGACAGAGGGTTTTTCAAGCTTGTTTTCACTTGTCGTTGCATATGAAACACTTCGTAAGGCAATATTAGTATGCACTGCCGCAAGAGATCATGGTCATGGTTTTTCTATAGATAGTTTCTCTTTCAGGTGAACAGAATCTTCCTGTTCAAGTTACAATTAGTTAAACTGTTGACGTGTTTATTGCTAGCTAATGGAAAAACAAATCCACACAATCCAACAAATCTAAATGGCACAAAGATCTGAAGGAAATTGTATTGCAAAAAAATTTTTTTGGGTTCAAAATAGTTAATTTTAAATGTTATAAAATTATCAAATTAAAAATACATTATATTTTTATTTTTATATATGTTAAATAACTGTTTTCTGTTTTAAAGGGGTCATATGATGCTGCTAAAAAGAACATTATTTTGTGTATTTGGTGTAATGAAATGTGTTTATGCGGTTTAAGGTTAAAAAAACACGACCCCTTTAATATATTTTAAAATGTTATTTATTCCTGTGATGGTAGAGCTGAAACATAACAGTTATGCTGTTTAATATTTTCGTGGAAACAAACTTTTTTTTTTTGAGTAATTCTTTGATGAATAGAACTTAAAATTTTTTTTTTTTATCAATTTAAGGCATCTTTGCAGAATTATATGAATTTATATAAAAAAAAAAGTATTAATTTCTAAAAAAAAAAAAAAAAAAAAAAACCGCAAACACTGACAATATCCTGAAGGGTCCTGAAGTAGTCGGGTCTAAAGCGAGAACTGCTCCAAATGCATGACATTTTCGGAGCTGGAGCTATTGTTCTCATTTCTGTGGCGTCTCACTTTTTGGGTTTTCAATAAAACTGCCTGTAGTCACTACGTACATAGAGACGTCTAACCGTCTAATGTCTAATAGTCAGGGGCTCTCATACCCCTAGCAACAAAGAAAAGTAGAAAGCTACTGTGTCTAGAGTGAGTCACCACACACCCAGAGAGACGGACGGGTATTTGTTTCTCAGTGTGATTTGAGAAGTGACTGTAGGGCAGCAAGAAAAAGGAAAGTTACAGTGATACAGCAGTTTCTCTTTCTGTAAAGAATAACCACTGTCACATTTAAGAGTGAGAAACCCCAACTAGTGGAAGTCCCTCGGGCTGATTCTTAATACAAGTCACAGCATATCATACACAGCCTTGACACTATGGGACACAGAACAAGAACATGGAGTCTGACAAACTCTGAGCTGTTCGAGAATCAAAACTCTGTTCTCTAAACATGGTGTGAAATGAACACCAGCCAGTTTTGCTTTATAGATGGATTAACGTCTGTGTGGACCCAGACCATCAGGAGATTATAATGAGAAAATCTACTTGCGCTGATCGGTTCTAGTATAAAGATGTGAGGGTGGTGTTCACAAATAAAAAAATTAAAAAAATGAGGCATTTCTTAAGTGCTTGACTATGTATTCTTGCACTAGATAGAAGAAGTCTAAAGCCGTTACGTCTCACTGTTATTCAGCATCTCACAACAGGACTGACATGTTTTTAAGACACCGTATTGAGTTAAAAATAGTAACTTTTGACATGCAGGACAGCATATCAATGTCAGTTTGAAAACATGGACCAATCAGCTAAATCTGCGGCAGGATAAACATATTTACATACAGTATAGACAAGAATGAAGTCATGTGTTTGAGTCATTTTTTGCAATCAGTTAACTAGGACACTAATCAAAGTGATTCACTTACAAATTCACTTTTAAAGCCAATGTAAATGCAAAAATGGGTTCATTTTCGGTCCACTAAAAGTTGTTGCAAATATATAAACTACGGTTTTCATCATAACATTTTTGTTAACTGTAATAACGCTGAAAACACTTAATAAACATTAAACATGAATAAACTTAACTTATTTTAGCTAGTTGCCAAGGTAACATTTCTAATGTTAGATTAGTTGAAGTACTAAAATTACTACATGTAAAAAGAAAATAAATAAAAATGGAAACCGAACTATAACTAAAACTGGAATAAAAATAAATTAAACCTAAATAGTAATACAAAAGCAAAATTACTAAAATTGTAACAAACTAAATTTTAAATATGAATATTTACATTTAGATATTTTATTTGCTGACCTGCATGTCATGTGACCATTAACCAACGTCAGAGAACCATGAACATGCAAATGTGATACTTAAAATTAATTATTATTAATTATCAGGGGAACTTCAAGTAAATATTAGGTGAAAGAGGTTCAGATGACCAAAAAAAGTTTGGGAATGCCTGCATTACATGTAAATAAGAAATAACGTGAATTTGTGCATTTTAATGTGTTTGAAAGTCAAAAGTCTTGCAAAGACATAGAAATACATGGTTAAATAACCTACTAAGTGATCATTCAAATAAAAATGAATGTGTTCATCAGTAGTTGATGGAATGTTGAAACACTTCTTAAACCTGAAATAATTTTTGTCGAATGCTGTGTAGCCACCTGACTAATGACTGGTCTTTGTGTGAAATTCCACAAAACTGGAAGACTTTCTGAATGTATATAAGCGGTGGGCTATTTAAAAGATGAAAAAGAGGAATTAGGGAGAATCAATAAATGATGAATAATTTATTGCTATTGTGTGAATAATATGCAATCATGTAATCAATAAAAAAGTAAGTTACGAGTATTTTAAAATGTAATATAATCTAATTTTACAAGTACTTAATTTTTGGAATCTGATTACATAATCCAGATTACATGTAATCGGTTACTACCCAGCTCTGCCATACAGCAGATATGCAGATACCTACTACAACCATCAAACTAATGAGCACGATTAGCTCAAGTCATCACTGTGACCCTGGTAAAAACGCTCCTGGAGTTTCCTCCCTTTCATGTTTGTTTCTCTGGCCATACGCCAATCGCTGAGGTGTGTGTATAAGCTTTCAGTGCAGCTAATCATAGCAGGGGAGACGCTCATGTGTGCGGTTTGGTGGCACCATAGAAGGAAACAGAGGGTCAGCACATTGCACTGGGGCCTACAAGACACTAATAAAAGACTGAAATGGGTTTTGCATGGGCTGATATGGGAAATTAAAAGGGAAATATAATGTCTATATTAACAATACAACACAATTTAATTATAGCAGAAGATGTGTAAACAAAACTGCTACATTAAATGAAACATTAGATTCTGAAACAGACACAAGGGGGAGACACAAAGTGGTACTGTGCAAGCATACACTAACACTACCATTCAAAAGTTTGGGATCAGTAAAACATTTTTTTTTTTAACAGCAAGTATGCATTAAATAGTATAATGTTACAAAAGTTTCTTCAAAAATATTAAGCAGCACAAACGTTTTCACAGTTGTTAATAATAAGAAATGTTTCTTGAGCAGCAAATCATCATATTAGAATGATTTTAAAATATATTCAAATAGAAAACTTAATAATATTGTAATACTATTTCTGTAAGAATATTACACAATTCTGCTGTTTTACTGTATTTATGAGTCTTAATGAGCATAAGAGACTTGGTTCGAAATAATATAAAAAAACTAAAAAATCATACAGAACCCAAACTTTTAAACGGTAGTGTATATAAAGTAGCTCAGCAGATTGAAATAAGAGGGAATATAGAACAAGATATATTTGCTGTCTTAGAAATCCTACACTTTGTTCATCTGAAAAAAAAGCAACGTGTTCATCAGCATTAAAAAGATACTGTAAGAGAGAGATACTCACAGTTCAGTGGTAATATGTGTTCAGCTACTGGATGGTGAAAGTTGAGACCCATGCGACCTATAAAGAGATGAGAAAAACAAACCATGAGATTTATGACACTTATAATATTAGACACTTATTATTAGAGTTTAATTCATCAAACAGACATAAACATCAGATGTAAGGCCTGAAACACTATTTTTTAACCCATAACAATAACCAACTTTTTTAAACAATATTCTTAACCAGTTCTCCTGGAAGACTTCTTTAATTTTAAATGCCCATTTCTGCTTGTTTTTTTTTTTACTTTTAGGAGTACAGATGAATTTTAAGATACCAATTTCTTTAAAGCTCACAGACTTGGACTAAAAGCAAGAAAACTGTTATAGATGAGAATGCAAAGCGTACTTGCATTGTATAACAAACAGTGTTCTAACACTAGCATTCTCTGTTCTATTTCTATTTACTTGTTTTTCTTTTTATTTATTATAAAAAAAATAATAACTTGACCCTCTGACACTAACTCTTTCTATTCCATTTCTATTCTATCTACTTTCTAATTTTTATTTATTATTAAAAAAAAACAAAAACCTTGCTACGTGTACTGTGTTAGACTAACCGGGACTTGTCACAGCACGTACATATTGTTGCTCTTTTTCTGATTTGATTGCGTTTATTGTCATCATTTGTAAGTCGCTTAGGATAAAAGCGTCTGCTAAATGAATAAATGGAAATGGAAAATGCTAACATAGAGTGTGCTTAAAGTTAAATTATAACCCAAGCTAGCTAATAAAACACTTGCATTTGTATTTTTTAGATTAAAAACATCTATTTATTAGTGCTGTCAAACGATTAATCACGATTAATCGCATCCAAAATAAAAGTTTTTGTTTACATAATATATGTGTGTGTACTGTGTATATTTATTATGTATATATAAATACACACATATGCATGTATATATTTAAGAAAATGTTTGAGTTTATATATAAAATATTTATTATTTATATATAATATAAATTATATATGAATATAAATATATATATATATATACATATGTAAATATTTTTAAAATATATACATGCATGTTTATGTATTTATATATACATACTAAATATACACAGTACACACACATATATTATGTAAACAAAAACTTTTATTTTGGATGCGATTAATCATTTGACTACTATTTTGACCACTACTACAACACTACTATTTATGAATCGTTTTCTAAATGAGGACGTTCACACATATCCCCAAATGTTTGTCATATTAGCGAACATGTAGGCACAAATGCATTCCCCAAGTATAGCTAAGTAAACACACATGGATTCCCTGTAATTACATGAAGAGTTCATTTGCATGGCTGTAAAACAGCTGTTGACTTATTTTCAGAATCAGAGCTCTAATGTGCCACCACTGTGAGCAAGCCTCGACGGCTTCTTACGCAAATTCTGAACCGTTGCAAGCAAGTCACATTTGCAAAGTTCTTCCCTACAGCACACAGAGAATCCCAGAGATGCTCTGGTTTAACCAGTGCTTTAACCCAGTGTTTCCCAACCTTTCTTTAGTCGCGGCACCCTTTGGAACATTTGTCCCTTTGGACAAAATTAATTTTGTCACAATATAACTTCGATATGATACTTTGAAAAGTATAGATATTCGGTACAGCAGGGAAGAACTGCAGAATATACTGTCATACAGATACAAACTTGAATTGAATTGAATTGAATTGTTACAGCACAGTAGGGCTACTGCAAACAGAACCAATACTGTACGACATCGATGTTTCCTGTCAGCTCTATTTTTGAGTGGACTTTGCTGTTCTGATGAGCATGAACGGTATACGAGTGGAGCGACTGAGCGGAGCGCACACACATAGAGCGGGATAATACGCAGAGCGTCACACCACGTGAAAGTGAAACCTGAGCGGTGAACTAATTTTATAGCTGCTTTTTTGAACATTTTAGCAATTTAAAAATATTAAAAAATGATTTTTTACACGGCACCCCTGCTCTCGACAGACGGCACCCCGGTTGGGAAACACTGCTTTAACCAATGCCAAATAATGAGATAATAATGCCAAACCATGAGAAATTTGCGCAATGGTGCGGTTTCAACAGGTATTGGCTCTGTGAGATTGCAAGACGAACAGGGCACATGCTTCTCAGCTTGCATGTGTTGTTCGGACTAGTGTGCTGGGCTATATATAGTGTCTCTGGTGAGAACCAGCAGCTGTGCTGAGAGCACATCCTTCACATTTGGACTATTTTCTCAATAATTCAAATCAAAGCAGCTCAACCGTCAGCACATGTGCCAATGATAGCCAAAGCACACTAATAAAAAGGTGTAAAGTTGATTCTAAATGAACACGATTTAATCATAAGGCATCAACACCTTTGAAGTGCCCCATGATTCATCTCATCAACAGCACTGTGCCCTTTAAAGGAAGCCTACGCTTCAAATACATAGTCATTTGAATTAAATGTCACTGCTCAGTCATTTTGAACAAACAATACTCATATACAATAAACAAAAATCTGTTACTAGTCAGTCTCTTTCTCTTGCTTTCCAGACAATATAACTAAAGGTCCTAAAAACAAGATTGCATGTGCATTAATGCATTGGAAAAATGTTGTGGGCAAAAAAGTCAATTGTCTATTAGTGTAGTGAAGCATGAATCACAGCTCAAACAGAAATCACTTCTAGACTAAGCAGTGAATTCATGTGACCAACTCTGAAATTTTTCGTCCTCAAGAGATTTCTATTGAAATGACTGGATTTCACCTGTAATATTTCGCAGAACAGCTGTAAATGCGCATTCAACATACATTTTATATGTATTTTAGGCATTGATACGAGAAGTTGAATTTACCCTGAGAACCAAAAATCGATAATACAGAGAATTTTCAGAGAAATCATCTTGAATTTAAGTGCATGTTTTTTTTCCCCCATTCATTTTGGCATAAAACTCACTACATTTAGTCTTGTACTTAATGCTATTTGGCTTTTACATCTTGTTTTGAAGATATTTTGAATTTCACTGGAACTCAAGACACTTTGTACTAAACGAAATGGACAAATACTTCCTTTCCAACATGCATTTGGTTTAAACACTGGAGACATTGTGGGAAAATTTGCATGAGCAAATCTGAGGTCAAGCAGATAAAGGGAGACACTTCTTGAAATTTAAACAAAAAAAGCTATAACCTTACTGTAATTCAATAATTTTGCACTTCCTGTGAAATATTACAGTGATGCACGCAAATATTTCAGAGCGGCTGTAATTCTGAGGCTTGTTTCAGACTTCAAGACAGCTGGAAAAGAGTCAGTGGTGAATACGTTCCTCTCCAGCACGTCTCTAACTGACTGCAGATGTAGTTCTTCTGACCCAACAGTGACATAATGGACAGACGCTGCTGGTTTGAACATTACCATTCTGTAAAATATAAAACCAGCTTTAAATGGTAGCTGAAACATGGTCCAAGCTGGTTTGTGAGGTTCACCAGATGAATACCAGCAGGTAGGGAGAAGGATGAGGTGGTTGACTATCTTGGTAAAGGGCCTAACTAGGCTCTTAAGGCCGGGACACACCAAGCCGACGGTCGGCCGTTGGCCATCGTCAGGCTGACAGCGAGCGATGGTCGGGCTAGTTTGTTTGGTGTGTTCCACTCGTCGGCTCTCGTCGGGCTCACATCGGCGGCAGTTTGCATCGGGGCCGTCGGCGCGAGTGAGAGCTCTGATTGGATGTTCAGTTTAGCGAATGAGTCATAATGAGTCGAATGTTTTCATAACAACATGAGCCGGTTAAAATGATTAAAGTTATCAACGTTACTGATATTCAAAATGGTAAGCAAGCGCGGCTTTGTTTACGTTTCGTATATCTGCGTTTATCTCGTATATCTTTGTTTCGGTTTCTCCTTTTGAATGACGAATATATACTATTGATAGCTGCTGATATAGACAGTTAATTCCTCTCACGCATGCGCAGAACGCACGTGTTAGTTTTTGCCGTCGGCTGTAGTCTGTGCGGTGTGTTCGAGCGCAGCTTTTTGGTCCGACGCTGCCGACGTGAGGCGACAACACCGTCGGCTTTCGTCACCGCTAGTTCTTTGAAGTCGGCTTGGTGTGTCCCGGCCGTTAAAGTGGTCAAGCTGGTTGAGACCTTCAAGTTCAAGATGGTCTACAAGCCCAGCCGAGTAATGGCATTCTAGCTAGTCAATCACATAAAAACATTTAGACCAGCTAATGAACAACTTGGACCTGTTAGAAATCAGTTACCATGCTACAGCTACCACCTTAAGCTGGTTTTAGCTGGATTTGCCAGTATTCTCATACTACAGCTCACATTCATTTAAGATAACCATCTGTATTCTTTTGACAGGGAAGAGACACCTCAAAGATAGAGCCGGACATGTTCCCCTGACATTTCCTCACAGGGGTCTATGGTTATGCAAATCATGCATTTGCCTTTCCCCTCTCGTTTTTTGATCAGGCCTAAACTCTGGAAGCAAATGTCAGCGTCTTTCCTTCCACATGAAAGAGGGCGACTTTTTAGTCCTGTTATGACAGATACACATAAGCCATCTTTTCCCCCGACACAGCAGCTTAAAATAAAGGTTAGAAAACAACATCTGAGGACTTGGAGCTTCAACAACAGGGCACAATTACAAACGGCGTAAAACTTGTGTCTCACACCCTGTGGAATATAAGGTTAAACTCTTAAACCTAATTAGAAAAATATTCCATCTGACAATGGTTTTAGTACAATTATTGACTAAATGATGCAATGCATCATGACATCTAAAATTTGGTCAATTTGATTTCATATTTTTCCTGAAAATAGGTAAATTGCAATATGTATTGAGAACTCTAGTGAACTACAGTGTTTATAATAAAACCTCAGAAATTTCAATGGCACATTTCTTCCATTAGTGTTTTTTTTTATAATGAGCTGAATTTAGTAACAAATTTTCTGAAAACAGGTCAGTTAAAATAGGTATGTTCAATGCAATTGTTTTGACAGAGAAAAACAAGATACATTTCAAGTTTCAACATTATTTGTCCTTCAGACATTC